CCGTGATGACAAATTCAGGCAGATACACCTTCATTTCATCATCTACATAAGCATCCCCCGTGTGTGTCAAAGTGAGAGGATACAGTCTATTTGCCCCAGTTTCACTCCTTGTGTCTGAAAGACTCCTCATGCTTCACTTGACAGCACGGTTTGAACAGGCCCAGAACCTGACCATATTCCCAGTCATCCCAGCTTTTAATTTTCCCAGTGCTTAAAAGTGTCAGGCTGCAGGAAAAAAAGCCTTTCTGTCGTTAAATTCCACTTTCTGTGGGCACCTAGGGGATTATAGGTAATAAGTTAAATATTAACAGAGATAGACAGGGTGGCAGATTGAGGTAGGCTGGCTGAAAATCCCAGAGTCGTCGTCAAAATTTAAGTAGAAACTAACCCTTCAATATACCTCGTAGTATCTCCTTTGAGAAACATTTTCCTCTCTGCCCTGTGAAATTTCCTACATGTCTATCTCCTTCATTCCAAGTAACACTTTATCCACTTTGCTTCATGGGCAAGACAGAGCAAGAAGTCCACTGAAGTAGGTCTGTGGATCTGTAGAAACTAAAAAACTTTCCTTCTCTACCAAGCCAATGTAGAGATCTCTCTCCCACTCCTCCAATAGCAACAATCTCCGTTCCTGCAAAATTACCATCAACCGTCCATGGATCACTTGGTTCCCTTCGGTTGCTGCTGGAAATTTTAACTCCAAATGACCCAACACTTTGCAGTGAAGCAACTGAGGCATCATCTGAACCTTAATTGTTAAATGTTGAAAGGACAGCCCGAGAGGGTGAGTTCCTGGCGGATGGGCGCCATTGGCATTCTTCTGTGTATTTCCTGGGGTTTCTAGCTCACGGTTCTACACACAGTAAGCCTTCAAGTGATGTTTATAGAACTGAACTCAAGATAAGTGAGCAAGTTCATTATCACCGTAAAGGAAAAGAGTGGCTCATCCGCCTAATTATTATCTTATTCCTTCTCGTCACCACCTACCCTCCTGCCTCGTCTCTGGCCACTCCAAATATTGGTCCTGTAACAGCCATGAAGGGGAAGAAACTAAAAATGATGCATAAGAATACCTTTAAAAACTGACATGCTATATGTTATGTGCTTTCTCTATCTCTACAGTACTGTGCCATCTGTCTGCTGAATATTTATGGGTAATGTTAATTATCAGCACCAAGGAAACCCTATTTCTTATTTTTAAACTACATCAATTCTTTAGATTTCTAAATCAATGTCAATTTACCGAGAATATCACCCTTTGCACTCCGTACTGCTC